CGCAAAAACAAATTCATGACATTTCTTCAACAACTTGCGCTATTCTGGAAATACCATCCTTAGAAGCTATTAATTTGCCCTTATGATTTGTGCAGTTGCTCTGTCAGGAGTTCCAAAATAAGATTATTATGTCATTATGATCTTATAAACTGGCTTGGCAATTCCCACCCCAATTAGATATAATGTGTACATATTTTGATAAATAAAATTAAAAATACACTAACAATAATGGAATATTAATTATTTTATTATATAACCTGCACACAAGTAATCCTTATATTCCTTGCTAGAATGATGTGTAACTTCATATGGGAATCCTGATAAAGTTCACAGCTGGCGATTTAGCAATACCTGTATCAGGGATAGTCAACTTCTTGTGAATTTGATTACCTAACGTTTTTAGATTCATGAGCTGCAAGTTACAGAGCACATACCTAAGCGGCCGTCCTTCAGCAAATAATGAAACAAAGGCATTTTCGATGTCGAAATCGCGAATCTCTCCTTTTTTACAGAAACTGTTAAGTTTGACTTACTAAACGAAGCACAGGACGATGAAGATAAAATATCCATCAATCAACACATACCAAAAATTATATCTCAAAAGTGAATGTTCGTGGTGTATTTTAAGTGTAACTGGACCGGACGTGAACATTTGTTAGTACTCTAAATATCCAAACATATTTTAGTATAAGGTAGTAAACATAAAGATTAAGTACTATTCGAAATACAGGCTCAAAATTTCCTGGTGATGACCTGAATAGTAAAATCGTATCTCTACTTTGTATTATATGCAGTACACCTCTCACTGATTTGGTTCAGACACAAACCTTGGAATATATTGGCATGCTGAAGCTATGCATTGAAAGTAGCGGTGTATTGTAAATTGTTCCACGGATTATTAATTTCAATAAAAAATATTCAATATCCTTCTGCAACAGCAATAAAATCATTACTAATAATATGTCACGGTCACTAAGCAATATGACGAGAATTCGTGATGCAAAGCCTATTCTATAAATGTTCAAATTTGTCTTGGTCGAAGTAAGAAACTAGGGGGCAATATCAATATCTTATTTATGAACTCCTGTCAGAGCAATCATAAGGACAAATTAACAGCTCTTAAGATGGTATTCACAGATTAACACCAGCTGTTAATGGCAAGATTAATTCTCAACTTTGATGAAAGAACCAGTTTCTGTGACAAAGTCAAAGTGCGCAATTTGACAATTCCTAAATGTTATTCCATTGGCCAATATGAATCTCATTTTCAAATATCTAGGATTGGGTGCAGTATGTCTACAGCATATTCAACAATGTATTTGTAAGGTTCCTTGAGGCAATAATAGGAGGCCTTTCTATTTCCTTACGATTTTTTGCAAGAAAGATATTTTATGTTATTGTATAATTGTGATCACTAAACTTATTTCCACTTATTACCGCCAAAATTACCTGATCTTCATATTTAGGTAAACAAAAACACGGAATTCTCTTAATTGTTGGTAATTTTCGTATAAATTCTTCAAGCCGCTCAATAACATCATGTGATATATTAAATGCAAAGCATTTTAATGTGAAAAATAAATGTAAAATAAATAGAGGACCTCCAATGAGTGTAATAATTTCAATATACATTCAGGTTACACGAGAATTATTGCATCCTATGTCACACGTTCACGAATTGAGTATCATATTTATCCGTTTCGCAGCTTTTTGTTGTCATGAATAAATCGGAATCAAGATATTGTTTGTGCGTTCTGTATCATTTGCATATTAGAACGCTATTCTTGTAATATAGTTTATCAATAATTTATGGCCACGGCTAAACAATTTTGCTGATTGGCAAAACAATATATTTACAGTGTTAAAGTCACATTAGTATAATTTTACGAATGACTTATTTTTGACATATTTTAGTCCCAATTTTATTTCATTCCATTTATTCACACTACACATCCGCATAGTGTTACGTATCATAATAAAGCAGCTTTTATGTAGAACTGTGTCCTGCAAACATTTAAATTTAACTATTTGTTATTGAAATATGGCTATTAATATAATCATACATTATATACACATATGTGCTTTGGTGCAATAATATAATATGAAAGTAAATTGTGGTTCTATGATTGGTAGCATTATATATTTGTTAGATTTTATGACAATAAA